TAAAGTGCTAAAATTTTTACTTTAATTAAAGTTTAAAGTTTTAAAATGTTTTACTTTAATTAAAGTTTAAAGTGCCACTTTAACTTTAACTTTTAAAGTAAAGTTAAAGTGCCACCCCTAGTTGAAACTATCATAAAAAAAAGTAAAGACGTTTGTCTAATGTTATCAGTTAACACTCATCCAAAGTTCCAAACGAAAAATTCTTATGCTCATTATATAGGGCACGATATGTTCTCTGTCTTTACACATTCCGTTTTTTAGGGTTCCGCAGAAAACCTTACAATGAGTTTTTGGAAAAATAAGAAGATATTATAAAACGAAGGAACTTTGTAAACAATAGTTATACTGAGTATGTGGGGCACGACATGTTCTCTGTCCTTAGACATTCCGTTTTTCTAAGGTTTCGTACAAAACCTCACAATGGGCTTTTGGAAAAATTAGAAGATATTATAAAACGAAGAGACTCTGTAAATAATAGTTAAACTGAGTATGTGGGGCACGACATCTTCTCTGTCCCTACACATTCCGTTTTTCTAAGGTTTCGTACAAAACCTCAAAAGGGATTTTCGAAAGAATATAAAAATTTCAGCAAAAATCTGACTTTTTCCCTTCGAATAAAGGGAGGTCATATGAAATAAAACGTGTTTGTGTGTTTGTCTGTCGCAGATCAAAGATTAATGTTGGTCCTCGATGATACAAATGACTCACCTATTGCTGATCCTCATACATATTAATCATCTACTGCATGATAATCTTCATCAATTTAGATTACCTAATTGATGATTCTCCTTATAGATATCTATTAACTACTCAATGTTGGTGCTTAATATTATAAATGATAGCACGCGAGTGAAAATATCGGATGAAGGAATAAATGCATATGTTTTGGAAAATTCTAGTCTAGAAAGCATTGGTTGGGTAACAGTAAAAATTGTGGGTGTGGGTGGATGATTGGTGTGGATAAAGCAAAGAATGAAAACCACACTCAAACGTACACCCACAGTCAGGCCCACATCCAAAATGTGCTTGTCTTATTTCGGTGAGCTCTAAACATTATCAATTTATCTTTCGGCACTCGGTTAATTAGTATCTGGAGTCGATAAGTAAACCTGACATTATCTGTATGATCATCTGATTGTGCCATACCCTGATCTTTTTCTCTGGCTTGTGCATTATGTATTTGTACGGACACTTCTTCAATATTCCCTTCTTATACCTCCAATGTTCGCTAATAAGCTTTATTGTGTCGATGAGTGTTCTCTATTAAAGTATTATAGCGAACAGCGGAACGTTCTTAGCCAAACGAATAAGTAAGAAATTTTCGATGGTATTCATTATGGCATATGCTTTCAAGAGAAGCAGAGCGACCCTGTCATCGCTTACTAGAATTTGAACAGTCTCTATGGGAAAATTGATAAAGCTTAATGTATTTTGCGAGACTATCATTGATGTCGTGCAATGGAATGGAGCGTTTAGCTAACCAACAAAACCATGATCGGCTTTCTAGAATATCAAAACATTTCGCATTTGTTACGCGAAGCTTCTGACAATTTTGTAAGTCTTACATAATGGTTTCATAAACAATGTACGAAACCTATAATCGTTCCGTATATACATTACGAAACCGCCGTTAGTGTCGTAAGGGGTAAAATAGTTTCGTACAACTTGTACGGTACTGTTGGTGGTTTCGTAAACTATATTATGGTTCCATATACATTATACGATACTAATGATAGTTCCGTAGCATATCTAAAGGTTCCGAATATGAAACGCAAAACCATCCTTAGTTCCGCAAGCAGTAAAATGATTCGGTACAAGTTGTACAGAACTATTGAGGGTTTCGCCACCTTTATTATGGTTCCGCATACAATATACGAAACCATTTACGGTTTCGTAGGACACCTAAAGGTACTGCACCTAGAACACGGAACCACCCTTAGTTCCGCAAGTAGTAAAATGGTTCCGTACAATTTGTACGGAACTGTTGTTGGTTTCACAATCTTTATTATGGTTCTGTACAAAATATATGAAGCCATTGATGGTTTCGTAAAGCATCTAAAGGTTCCGTATACGTAATACGAAACCATCGATAGTTTCGTGAATGATGCAATGGTTCGGCATATCTTTACGGAACCATGCATAGTTTCGTAAATGTTGGAAAGGTTTCGGAGACATTTTACGAAACCATTGATAGTTTCGAAATGCATATAATAGTTTCGTATATTTTATACGAAACCATTAAGAGCTTCGTCATTTATCAGAAGGTTTTGTATATATGTCACAAAACCATTGGCAGTTTCGCAGAGCATCTAAAGGTTTCGTATTAGTTCTACGAAGCCATTCATAGTTGCATAAGTGCTCTAATAATTACGGAAAGATTGTACGAAACTAGCCATGGTTTCGTAAAAGATATACCGAACCATTACATCATTTACGAAACTATGAACAGTTTCGTATAGTGCATGCCGAACCTTTTGATGTTTTACGAAACTTCCCGTAGATCCGTATAAGATATACGGAACCTTTGTCTATTCCACGAAACTATCTGAGGTTTCGTAAAACATCAAAAGGTTCAGTATAAATTGTACGAAACTATTCATAGCTTTGTAAACGATGTAATGGTTCGGTATATCTTTTACGAAACCACGGCTGGTTTCGTGCAACATCTTCGGAACCATAAGAGCACTTATGAAACTATGAAAGGTTTCGTAAAACTACTACGGAACCTTTAGATGCTCTACGAAACTCTCAACAGTTTCGTACGAAACATACGAAACCTCCGAAAGTTCAGTACACAGTGCACGAAACTCTAGGAGGGTTTCATCATGAAACTTCGAAACCTTCGTCGGTTTTCGGAACTTAAAAAGGTTCAGTATGAAGAGTACGAAACCTTTTTCATCCTACGAAACTTAAAATGGTTTCGAAAACCATTGCGAAACCTTTAAAGTTTGGTAGAACACCTATTTTTTTTACAGTGTATGGCTGATATAACTGAAGCACATGCATTAAAACTAATACCTGTGTTTTTGGAAGGACATGCTAAACAATGGTATTCGGACAACAAGGAAACATTTGAAACTTGGAATGTATTTAAAACTGAATTTATTCGAACCTATTCTTCACCAACAACCAAACAATTAGCGTCAAATCGTTTACGAACTCGTTTACAACATTACGATGAACCTGTTATTGAATATTATACTGATATTATGAAATTATGTAAGTTAGTTGATCCTACTATGACTGATGCATCAAAACTTGATCACCTATATCACGGTTTAAAACATTCATTAACGAAGGAAGTTTTACGTCAAACTCCACGAACACCATCAAACTTTTTAGAACATGCGCAACGCGAAGAAACTTTGGATCGTCTTGTTACTACGTCTGTTCATCATACCAATGATGTCATTGATACCAATACACCTCATAATGCACCACTTCATCCTGCACAACCAATTACGCCCATATGGCACCAAACTTCTCCGAACACGTCTTATGCTTGGCCTCCACCACGACCAACTCAGTATCAGCGATCATCATATCCTTCAAATTATCAGCAATCATCATATCCTTCAAATGATCAGCAATCATCATATCCTTCAAATTATCACCGATCATCATATCCTTCAAATTATCAGCAATCATCACCACATAATAATCCTTATATTTCAAACACATCGTTTAATGATTCATATCCTCATCGACGTTCTGTACAATGTTATCGTTGTCACAAGTTGGGCCATATTGCCCGTGATTGCCGAATGGCAAAAAACTATTAAGGGAGTCAAATGATGGTAGTGACTCCCACCCCTCACAACCATCGTTATCTTACTCATCCACAACTCCTGCCTATTCATCAACCAAATTCACAACATATTATCGGCCCAACTCGTCTTATTATTCCTCTATTCGTAAACCTCAACCAATTAATTATTATTTCAAACAACGTATCGTCAATAAAAATACTATCACACCTAATCCTTCATTAATTTTTATTAACACTCTTATCAATGGCAAACCCATACGAGCTATGATCGATACGGGCGCTTCTCATTCATTTATTACACAATGTGCATTACGTACACTATCCTATTTCCGATTGTCATCGTGTGAACGTACCGCCCAATTAGGTGATGGTCAAACAACACTTAAAATAGTTGGTGAAATTCAGCTGTTACTACAATTTGATCAAGTTTTTACACCTGTCAATGCTCTCGTCACTCAAACCATGAACACTGATTTTATACTTGGTGGTGATTGGTGTACAAAAAATAAAGTAAAAATTGATTATGCAAAGAGTCAAGTATCACTATGTACATAACTTGGTCGTATTTTTATCCCGTATCATAAACACATCGATTATTTAAGTTTAGATGTCAAATCAATCAATGTACTTCATATACCACCACGTGAATCTTGTACTGTTCAAGCCAAAGTTGAATTATCGTCCGCTAATACTGTATATTTTTCTCCTGCTGACACTATATCACTTGAAAGATCTGTTATAATGTTACCAGCCTTATTACACGTAAACAACTACACAACCTACTTGGAGATATACAATCCTCATGATACTACATGTACATTACCAATGAATACTCGTTTAGGCCACATTACTCATACACCACATAAACTTCAATCGTGTGTAATATATGATCCATCTCGTTGTTCGTCATCATGGTCGTCTCAACGTCATGTCATTAATACAATCGACCTTAAACAAACACCATCTAACACCTGTAAAATAATTGATAAACTTCTGGATCATATTACCAACTGTCGGGACAAACACCAACTACGTCACATACTTGAACAACACATCAAAATCTTTGATATTTCACATGTTACACAAGCAAACACATCTGTTCCACACATTATTAACACCGGTGATAGTCTTCCAATCAGTTCCAGACCATATCCACGAACAATCCAACAACGACGTGAACTTCAAGCTGAAATTCAAAAAATGTTGCAAGCTAACCAAATTCGTCCATCCATTTCGCCATGGTCATCTCCAGTCATTATTCACAAAAAAAAGGATGGTGGTATTCGTTTTTTGGTAGACTATCGAAAATTGAATTCAGTAACAAAAAAAGATTCTTTTCCTCAACCAACAACTGAAGAATTACTAAATCGATTAGGTGGTCATTGTTTTTATTCAAAATTAGATCTTAAATCCGGTTATTTTCAAATACCGATACACGAAGCTGATAAAGACAAAACAGCATTTATTACACAAGATGGATTATGGGAATTTAATGTACTTCCACAAGGCATCATGAATGGACCACCAACCTTTCAAAGAACCATGCATAATCTTCTTGGTTATGGACGATGGGACTATGTCATGGCATATTTAGACGATATACTCATCTTTTCACGTACTTTTGATGAACATGTTAAACATTTAAATGAAATTTTATATATATTAGCTGATGTCAACTTTCAAGTCAATCCTGATAAATGTTTTATTGCTGTTCAAGAAATCGATTTTTTAGGTCATACAATCAATGAACACAGTATAAAACCTAATGGTGAAAAAATTAAAGCTATTGTTGATTTACCATCTCCTAGAACCCTTAAAGAAGCAAATGAATTTTTAGGAAAAATTAACTGGTATCGCAAATTCATTCCTAATTTCGCTCGTATAGCTGCACCACTACATAAAGTAACCAACAAAACTAAACATCGTCGACATGAATTTAGATGGGGACCTGAACAACAACAATCATTTGAGGAATTTCAACATATACTAACAACATCTCCTTTATTTTTAGAATATCCAGATTTGTCGACTCCATTTACATTAACAACTGATGCATCAGATATTGGCATTGGTGGAATTTTAAGACAAGATACACCAGCTGGAACCAAGATCAATTATTTTAAATCTCGTGTCTTAAATGATACTGAACATAAATATGATACATTTGAAAAAGAAGCATTAGCTATTTATTGGTGCATTACCGAACTTCGATCTTATATAGGTGACTCTAATATTATTGTCGAAACAGATCATCGACCACTTGAAAATTTCCACCTTAAACAAATTAATAATAAACGTGTTATGAATTGGATTTTTAAATTACAAGATATATTACCACAAATTATTGCAGTCAAATATTGTAAAGGAGCAAACAATACAGCTGCCGATTATATTTCACGACATGTTCCTTCATCAACATCGGTTAATACCACACCACCTGGTCCAACTGATACACCTCATTCTCATACGTGCGATACTCCTGAACTTAATGCTGTTACAACGCGAGCACAAGCCAAACTCCTTGCTCCACCACGTTCATCAACACCAATAGCATCTGAATCTACTTGTTCTTCTCCATCAACAAGTACTCAATCATATGATTTTAGTTTATCACGTATACGTACTGAACAAAACACTGATTTAAATATTCAAAATATAATACAACAAATTCGAAATCAACGTCGCTATTCATCGTTTCTTATTCAAGATGATATTCTCTACAAATTAGTTCGTCGAGATAATACAGTACTTAAAATTATCTATACACCTGCGACTTTAATTCTGGACCTGTTAACTGCTTATCATGATCACCCGTTAAGTGGTCATTTCGGTATTGCCCGCACTTGGACACAATTACGAAACGCATATTATTGGCCTCGTATGAAAGAAACCATCATGTCGTATATTAAATCATGTGATAAATGTTCCAAATTTAATCTCGATCGACGTAAACCGCCTGGATTTTTGCAACCTATCCAACCACCGAATGATGTTTTTTAAATACTAGGAATGGATTGGTGGGGACCTACTATTCCTTCACTTTCTGGAAATCGATATGTTCTCGTTGTAACTGATCGTCTTTCCGGTTATGTTTTTGCTACAGCATCACCTACCAATACAGCTCAAGATACTGCTCGAATCTTAATGGAAAAAATTATTTTAGTTCATGGTCCACCAGATATATTAATCACTGATCAAGGTACACACTTCAAGAATGAATTATTACAAGCTATATCAAAATTAGTGGGTTGTGCTCATGTTTTTTCAACACCATATCATCCACAAACAAATGGACAAACTGAACGATGGAATGCAACATTTGCTACACAACTCGCTAAATTTTGTAATACAGAACACGACAATTGGGACACTTTTTTACCATCTATCGTTTATGCATATAATAATGGTATACATAGTTCGACTGGATTTACACCTTATCAACTTGCATTTGGACGACAACCACGTCATCCATTTCAGCCTCCTGCAACTACTTTCGAATTTACTAAACCATATGATTATTGGACACAATTAATGCAATATAGAAATACGGTGTTAAAACAAGCGAAAAACAATGTTCTACATCAACAGCAACTATCCAAACTTCGTTTTGATAAAAATAGATCACACCCAATTTTTTTACCAGGTGATCTAGTGTGGATGAAAATTTTCGTGGGCCGTAATAAACTCGATGCTCGTTATACAGGTCCTGTTCGAATCATTCAACTTATTTCACCGGTGTCTTTTATTGTTGAAGATGAAAATTTTCAACGATTTCAGGTCCATTCGCACAATATTAAACGTGTATATTCTCGGAATCAAGTCATACCCTGGTGAAATTTTCTCTTCCTACGCTAACACATCGCCAGAATCATTACATATTCACATGTCGTCTTTTGTATTTACATTCGAATATTTTCCCCATCTGAATTTTATCATCGTTACTATTCGAACAAGTTTTTATATTTTTTTTCATCGATATTTTTTGTTACTTTCTTATTATCCTATATACACTGCATGTACTCTTACACGTTACTTTCAAATTATTCGTTAACATTTCTTTTCTACCATGGCGGTTCTATTCATTTGGGTTTGGTTTATCCTGACTCATTCAATCAATGCCCTCCTTGATAGCAAAACGGTGGTCTCTTGCGATCAACGCTTTGATAGTAGCAACTGGACACATTATGTATTCTTGCTGTTACTCGTTGTGGGGGGTTTGGTACTCGCCGCTGTTCTTATTTACGTTTATAAACGTTGCCGACTGACACTGAAACTAGCCAGTCAACAGCAACAAGCATCACAACCTTTTCCAGCGCATGTCTCTTCCATTTTAACACCACCTTATCAGCCACCTTATGCTCATATACCTAATTCGTTTTTACATCAATCTTTACCACAATATCCATCGTTATTACTTTCACCACCACGTGAACCACACACATCTTCACTGGTACCACCAAACCCGATCGTATCATAAACATTTTCTCTCGTTTGATTTCTCTGCATCTATTAATGCTTTCTATTTCATTGTACTTGCAACACCTTTAATATTTGCTTTTCTATTGGTAATCATCTGATATTCCACTTCTAATTAACAAACTTTTCTTTTGTCTATCTTCATCATTCGAACTTCGGTTTTTTCTTTCTTTTGGTTCTTTTTTTTGTGTGTGATTCAAACCATTTTTCATATTGTATCTTTTGTTCTACTTCAACTCTTCTCTCACCGGGGGAGGTGTTATGTCAGGAGAGACATCTCCTGACATAAGAGGGCTCTCTCTATAATATTACAGCTCTCGTTAATGGCATTCCTTCTCGTCGCTCCATGATATCTCTTTGTTCTGAAAATAAACAACGAGGTATATCATGGAAGAAGAGAGAAAGACATTCTTTGTTGCTTTTTTGTTTTTCATTATTCACTTGTTTTGTTTTTTAAAGAAAGGGTGAGAATAATAAAATAAAAGGAGTAAAGGCCTAACAAATTGGTGCACTGGCCGGGAAGCAACATACAGCTCTCTCTCGTCACACGTGTTCCCCGTGTGAGGGGGGAGGTGTTATGTTCGAAGTGTTCCCCTTCGAACATAAGACGGAACGAAACGAATAACACACGCTCCTTTCTAGTATAGTGGTAGTACAGCTGCCCGGAAAGCAGAAGACGTTGGTTCGATCCCATCGGAAGGAGATTACTCTTTTGTTCCGTTCTGTTGTCATACCATCACGTTGCTATCTCGGTGATAACAAAGAAAGAAAAAGAGACGACATAACAGGTATCAGCGGAATATTTATTTTCTTACGTGGCAAAGAATGAGTATATGGAAAAAAACTTAGTATATCAAATGTCAAATTGCACTTGTTCGAGCCTAATGAAAGCAAAAAGTATCCTTTTAACCCTTTGAGTCCCATAGTAGCAAAAAAGCTACACATGTTTCATAATCATTTCTCACAATATAATCTATAAAAATTAGTGCCTAATGCCATGGAATGAAGTAATAAAGAATGCTCTAGGATCCTCTCCAACTATCTTTAAAGGAAATATATAATCGTTTATATGTTTCTGTCTAAAATGAGCTAATCTAACAGTCTTCTTGAATTGAATCCAGGAGAAATAATTTGGGACTCAAAGGGTTAAAGACAGGTAATGCGGTACTATCTCATCGTCAAGTTGGCAAAGTTGAAGCGTCATGGACTGTCTCGGGTATATGAATTTATTGTTAATAAAGCTATGAAGTGTATCTGAATTATAGGAATTCCTTTGTATTATTCATCGATAAGATGTAAAAGTTTATATATTTCTTTACCATGGAATGAAGAAAGAATACTTAAACGAGGTCGAACTGAAGTAAACAGTCCAGACGATTTTGTTGAATCATTTACACATCGATACGTGTAACGACCATTTACTCCATCTGTTATTGATCAAATGATTTTATTTGAATTTTTGACTTCGTTTGATTATGATCGATCTTCTTCTACTAAATTAGAACAGATATCAGAAGAACCACTCGTGGAAAATCCTCTTTGGCGCACTGATTTTGATCAACCATCTCTACTTAAAACATCAGCTTTGCTTCCTCGAATAGTTTTATCATGCGGTTCAATATTAG